CAAACACAAAGATATGAAAATATTTGAAAAGTTCTTCATTGATAATTTCAGCAAAGAAGAAGAATTTTTTATTTTCATCAATAAATGATGATATTGAAAGTCAAGATACGAAAAAGCACAATATTATCCTAAAGCAATTTTATTTTTCTCTCTTATTTTGATTGTAACATATTGGAGAATTTTTTGATGAAAATAGGAATATATATTTACTGAAATAATTACTGTTTCTATTATAATATCATACTACGAATAGTTTTTCGTACAGAAATCATTTGAAAATACATAAGGATAGAAATAATCGAATGCAAAACTATTATTTTATATGAATTTGTTTAATCGGTTTTGTTTTACAATGAATATGAAAGAGAAAAAATACAAATCGAAAATTCAATGTAAAACAAACTTTCAGATAGACTATTTTCATTACTGATAAGATTTATACGATCAAATTACTTTAAAAAAATTGACAATCTGTAATATGATCATTACAACTATATTTGATAATACCCTTCATCGACATGTCAATGTATAAATAAGACATCATATGTCTAATCAAGTCACTACATATTGAAAATTACTTTATTGGACAATATAGATCAAGAAATTTTATATATTTTTGGAATAGAAAAAAAATAAATAAATAAATAAAATAAAGTGAACAAATATTAAAAATTAAAATCATAATCTATTAATAATTTGCTTTTTTTCAAAAAACAAACATATTTGAGAAAACTAGAATAAATAAATTGAGCAATTGAACAATATATAATATTACTTGTATAGTGACGAAAAGAAAAATCGTATGATAATCCAAGAATATTTAAACTTCGTTCAATTCATATTGACATTTCATCGAAACAAAAAAATAATTTTTACGAATGCGAACAATTTAAAAGAGAATTATTTTTAATCATATCTTTTCTTTTTCTTTATAAAACGTCTTCTTCAGATGATCTTTTTAACATCCTTTGGATTTGGCTTATTTTGAAAATCCATTATTATTGAAGAAACAGAATCTAGAACTTTTTAATGATTAACTTTATTTTTATCAAAAGCCTTTGGTTCTATTTGTAAGATTTGATCAAATGATGCATCAATATATAAATTAAAAAACAAAAAAAATTATTTTTTTTGTAAAGAATTTTTTCAATACATTATAATGATTGATCTAATTATATTATTTAGTTTCTATTTAAAAAAAAAATAATCAATATGAAAAATCTTAGCAAACTTGATATTGCATCAGTATTGAGACTAATATCCGACATGACTATTTCTTCTAAACAAAACAAAACAAAAAAATTTAAATCAAAAATATTTTAGATGTAAAAAGATAACAAACTTTCTACATAATTATCATAATACGAAAAAATATTTTCTTGCGGTTCAGCTAAGATAAGATTTTTAATATCATCTTTTCAATAAAATAATTCATTGAAATCATATTAAAACATATATTATAATATATGCATCTTAAACCATGGAATTTATAACTATTGTTTATACAAGAAAACATTAACGTATCATGTATTTGAAAATTTTTCATGCTTTATAGTTTTTACCAAAAAAAAACATAACCATAAAAATGATGAAAACTTTTCTTGTAAACACCAGATCTACAATGATCAATTGAAAATATAATATTACAGATAACATTCTTAATATAATAAAATAAAACTCACATTGATTACCATCGGATAATTTTTTATCTAAAATAGAGAATTAATTCGAAGAGATAAATCATAATTGAAGAAAAACAAAATCGGTGAGCCAAGATTTTATTTGTTCAAATTTAACATTGAAAGATGATTCTCATTCTATACAATACAATCATTTACAGTTTGATCTAATCATATCATATATATTCAAATGAGATTATGTTTATACAACAAATAAATATATTAGCATTTGATACAGCTGCATTATCTTCCACTTCAAAAACTTCTTGAGAAAGATCTATAAAGAACAGAAAAAAGAAATTTACATTCTAGGTCAAGGATAGGTTAATAAAAATATTTTTGTGTCAAACGCAACTATTTTAGTGTTTATTACACAAATAAATATGCTCCAGCAGAAAAAATATAACCATGGTTTTAGTACTGAGCAAATTTTTTCCTCATCGTGCTTGACAAATGAAAACAAATCCAAATTGAACAGTTACATCATCACACGAATGTCTTTTAAATGATGAAAATACATTATTTGAAGGATTTATTCAATTAAAGTGTCATTTTCTATTCTAGCAGAAATGAATGAATGTTGGAAATAATTATCAATGTAAACTAATTTTTTTTTATCAAAATAAAATTTTTGTTCAAGCTTACAAGTGGAATATAAATTCTTCATATTGACCATCAATAGATTCACTCATCGTCAGTTGATGATTTGTGTCGACCATTTAAATAAACAACTATCAAATATTTATACAACGATTATTCAAGTTCCTTTATCTAAATACAAGCATAAATAAAATCAAAATAGATATTACAAAACAATTATTTAAACAGCAGTAAAAAATTCGAAAAAGGCAGTGTCAAAGTTGTGCACATCTATTCATTTATAGTCACCGTTTTGATCTTGTAATTTTTATTTTTTCTTATTGTGGAAGTGAATAATATATAAGCTCTAAAGAAATAATCAAATATAAATTAATACATGTTAGTATGATTTTCATCAGTGGATTATTACATGAAAAAGCTTTAAGGCATTCTTGGTTTTTTGGTTTTTCTCCATCAAAATTGCTTTTTATGGGCATTCAAATAGTGATTTTGTTAGCTCTCGGAAAGGGTTATAAATCTATTATATCAAATACATTAACGATTAACTGATTCAGTTGTTATGAAAGAAACTGTTTTTGTCTAGTGAAAAAAAGTTTCAAAACTATATCATTAGATTCACTATTGAACGGGCCATATTTTGGTATAAAATATTTCTGAAAATCAATTAGTTATAATAACTAAATATTAATTATTATTAATTAATAATTTAAAAACTGTTGTCGTATTTTTCGATTTTTAAGTAGACCATAAGCAGAAACACTGAAAACTAAACAAAACTGTATATTTTTTGTTTTTAAGACAACAGATCTTAATGAGATTTATTAAGCATTCGTTTAGAAATTAATTGACGCTGTTAATAATTGAGAAAACTGATCTCGAAGAGGAAGCTTCGAAACTCTGAAAAGTAGATTATTTTGTAGAGCAGAGTTTGTTATATCGAGTGAGACTTGGCGGCTTTCTGTACAATGTGCTATTCATGAGATACAGCGCGTTGAAATTAGTATAGCCGAAATAAAGTTAGAAATCATCTCTAATATTGCCTATAAAAATTGGAAACGTTGTGGGTGTGGGTGGGGGTGTCCATGCAGGTGTGTGTGGGCTGGGTATGATGTGGATGAAACGATAAATCACAAACACACCGACACCCCCCCCCCCCCCCCCCCCACTGTTAATACTGGTCATATTTGGTCACTTCGTTTATTAGCTGCTCGAGCCCGTGTTAAAATATTACAACTTTCATAATTTCTTGTTACGATATTTTCTATATTCTTATTATCTCTCGACTTTTCTATTCATTGACTATTTCAAGTACTCCATCGTTCTCTTATTTATGCTATTCAGGATTTATTCGAACAATTAGGTTATAATGCTTCTCGTAGATTTCTATTGCCTGATTTACTAGATATAGATTCATCAAAAATCCTTTCTTCAAAAACCATACTTGGTGTGCTTGAACCTATTGCTTTGATAATCATAAAAGAATAACCTCATAGTATTTATCGACAAATAAACGTTGTCTCTGTTTTGATATACAACTATTATATCAATACCAATAAAAATTTTTGATAACACACTCTTTGTAGAGGCCACAAAAGTGGGTAGATACTCGTCAGTACTTGAGAATTATTCATTATCACTAAGTGAGACTTGTCAAGACTTGAATAATTCGACATCTGTATAACACATTTTCTGATATTCTATTTCTCTCCAACCTTGAGTATTTGTGCAGATATACCGATGTGATTTGTCATGTACTGCTCAGAAATTATTAGATCGTCTTCGCGCATATACACTTATTGAAGGTCATTGTCCTCATATGCTTTAACTTGAACAACAATTACTTCATCGTAATTTACTTAATGCAGATTATAATAATACTACTTCTAAAGTACAATCACAATCATCCAGTACAATAACTTTAGATTCTAATCGAACAAATACATTCATTTCATCTTCATCAGGAAGTAGTAGTAGTCGACCAGAAAAAATCGATCGAGTTAAATCAATTACACAAAAATTACAAAAGAAAATTGATTCTTAATAACCTTTTCTATTTCCATCTAAAAGATTATGATACAGTTCATGCTACTCATGAAAATATTCAACGAGCTCAAGGTAAGAAAACGACATTTTCATTATATGACAATTTACTACACAGCCTCTCTTGTTCACAGTCCACTTATTCACTCTTACTTCACATTGAGGGTCATCTTATTTTCTTCAACCGATCAATAACTCATTAGATGTATTGAACAGAAAATTCTATTTAAGAATCAAAGTCTTGTTGGTGTTAGTATTTATGAATAGAGCAATTACTACGCTGTCTCTATCTCTTGATCTGCAGTAAAGCATCATCTGCAATGATCGGTTCACAACCAAACTTGTTATTAAATCATAGTCCAAGGCTTCAAGTACCTCTTTATTGTTAATTAAGTTCACCAATAGAACGATGAATGAGTGACGCACCATTATAACATTCTCTTTATGCAATTAAATCAAATAACAAATTTTTCATTTTCTTTTATTTTGTCTTATTTACCATATAATCACATAGAAAAAAAGTTACAAAAATAACTACAGAAAAAAGTATAAAAATAAAATGAGACACCGTTTGACTAGTTTAGAGAAATCAGAAAAAAAGACATACACTTTTATGGATCTGAAAAGGCAAGCCAAGAAAATGAACATGAAAGAAAATTTTGCAAGTTCATTTGAAGTATATTAATCTGTTGTTGTCCCATTAGGAATATTTGCTTGCTTGCTTCCATCAGGCAATGCTGAATTTATTGGTTCACCATTATCATCTGTTTTCATGTCGCTAACACCTTCTATAACAGAACGTGCTGCTATATTTGTATCATCACTTGTACCATCGAGTGAACCATCAAGAAAATTAGCAGCATGAGGTGTTGTAAATGATCCTGATGGAGAATCATGAAAACTTCCATATGATGTACTTGTTGTTATATTATTATCTTTTTCTTCAGAACTTGATTGACGTAAAACAATATGTGGTATTTGTGAATAAGGATAACGTTGAGAATTTGTTTGTGGTTGATCGAATACAAGATCAGTCGTAGTTATACCATTTACTGTTGTCTGTCTTGATAATATGGATACATTTTCACTATCAGTAGAGCCAGATGGTTTACTAATAGAGTGAGTATAATCAGAAACACTAGCACCTAATAAGTTATTCGACGTTCTAAAATTGAAATATTGATTAAACACAAGAGTATTTACGTTCAAAATTACCTATTTGATGATCTCTCATGGAATCTATGAGTGAATTATCATCGTCATCAGCTGATTGTAATAATGATGTTTGTTCTGTAGTTGTAACACTATAACTTTCTTCATTCGGTGCATAAGGAGTCAAAAATACCCTACATCGACATAGAGCACATTTATAGTCATCAGCAAATAGCGGACCATTAGCGCAGTCCACATCAAAAGCCGAAAGAAATCATATCGATTGATAAGAAAAGAATATGTAATATCATAGTTAAGAAACCAACCATGACTACATGGGAATATGTATAATCGACTACCAATAACAAATTCTTGTTGACAAATAGTGCACATTTCCCAGCGATAACCTGCAAAATATGTTATTCTTCTTAATTTCGAAACTTTTGATCTTAGTTCACGTGATGCAGCACGTCGCTGTAAATAATTTGGATACACCTAAATTGGAATATAATGAAGGAGTTCGGATTAAAATATAATCTTACATAAAGAGAAAAACCAAAAAATATTATTATTGTACAAAAACACATTAATACTATCATCACGCCATGAACATCGAATAATTTCTCATTTGTAATTCTTTTACGAATTCTACAAAAAAAAAGGATTCAAGAGAAAAGCAAATGTAAATGAAATATATTTATCGCATCATTGATTTTCTCGATGGTCTATTGGTTAGATATCTTCTAATAATTGTTAATACACTAGCAGGATTTATCACTTCTGTGGACATCACTATATGTATCAGAATAAAATGAAATATTAAGAATTTAAATAGCTTACGATAATATAACAGTAGGTCGTGTATGAATAAACCCCATGATAAAACCCGTTAACAAGATTAACATTGCTGACCAAAAATTTCGACCTTGATTAAATGTGGCAATACCAGCTATAATAACATCTTGAATAAAATGATGACCGTCGGCAAATAAAAGCCTAATGTGTAAACCCATAACACATTAATAATATCAATAAATCGTGGTTGAATGTCAGTCTGAATACAAAAAGTTTTATAAAAAGAGACTAGATATATTTCATTTATTTACGTACAGATGCACGAGTCGCAACTGTTGTCAAAAACTATTGGTTTCGATGCATCTAAAAAAAAGAAAGATTTGATATATATCTATGCACATTGTTAGAATAAAACATACGGTAATAAGAGGAGAATGTGTTAAGCTTAGTGCACTTAAATGCTTAGTGTGATCATACATTTCACTTATCTTCTTTTATACTGGCAAATATTCCTTCTTTTTCGGTAATTCTATACTTGTTTTTCTTTCTTGGAAAATATCCAAGTGATCCGCCATCTATATGTACAAATATATTCTTGCTTGCGTGTTTCTTCTCTTCTCTTTTCTCTTTCTCATTCTTTTTCAGCTATCACTTTAGAACACAATAGAGGATGTGGGTGAATGACGCATTTTATAGAGTATTGGTCTTTCTTATTTAACAATATTTCGAAACATGTTCATCATAAACAAACCGAGAAAACATAGACCTTCAGTCTTCAGAACCTGACGGCTCGTAATAAATTCTAATTGATCCTAAAACGTATTCATCGGACTGTATCAGAGTGTGTTGAAAGCTATGCAAAGTCAAGAAGATTTACCAAAGTTTGATGAAATTCGCTAAAAAGTATTCGAATTCATTGTTGTCTATCAAACTACACTATAATTTCAACATTATAATTTGAAGATAAGGAAAGTGATCCGAATCCTAGTAGATCCCACCGGATGACTACAGATTCTGATTACCACTGTATTAGTCAAAATCCATCGGAATCTACCAGAACTCATCATATACTTATTGCTCTAAGTTAGCTTTTTCTTCTTCAACTAGAATCCTACTATGTAACCCCTGTTGTTTCATTAATATTTGTGGACTCCGAGGGTGTGGGTGGGTGTGGGTGTGGGTGTGGGTGGGTGTGGGGTGCGGATATGGATGTGAGTGTGGGTGGGTGGGGTGTTGGTGGGT